CAGCAGTGAATATTCAACGTTGACTAACTAGACTGTGGTGGGGGCGCGGGTTTTCCCGAAAAAAGCAGTGAACAACGTTGATCAAACTTTTATTTCCCTAGCAACTGAGACCCGCAAACAAGGGGATCCCATTTGGATTTGCACCAGTTGGGACACGCATGTCAAACCTCATGTAAATACCAACATATCAAACCAAATCGTCCATGCCACCATTGCTATACCATGTTGCCTTACGTAATACATGTCAACACCCAATACCTCGGTCTGCCATGGTATCTGGAGCTGCAAGGCGCTCGTTCGATCGGCTCGGCGGTACCGCCTCGGACGGGTCGAGAAGACCCCGGTCCAACCAGGTCCAACCAGGTCCAGGTCCTGAAAACCTCATCCCTAGGTAGGCCTCCAGTCGTACCGAACTCGTTTGGAAAAGGTGGGACGACCGGTGGGCGGTGCCATGTTCGGGTCCAGTCACACCTTCAGAGGTACGACTGGAGGTGTAGGGCATCTGTTCGTAGTTTTCCAAGTGGGCCATCAGAGGTGAGAAGTGGCGAAGTGCCCCATGATGTCCAGACAGAAAAAAGGGGTCCGTCTAAACCACCGTTACTTGTGGGCCCCTGTGCCATCTACTCTCAATCCACTATATCAACTCCAGGCAGTAACATGAATTCTTCAAGAGCTCCATCGGGAGAAGAATCATCCTCACGTGCTTTCGCCCCTGGCACCGAGCCCCACATCCATCAGATCGATCAGCGGATCGATCTGTGCAGCTGCCCCAGGTCCTCCCAGGGTAGCTGCGTATATGAGAAGCTCAAAGCACCTAGCGACTTGCTACTCGGCCGCAGGTCATAGGTGCGAAGGTGCTGCTTCCTTTTTGTTTGTTCTATACTGTACTGTTCGATACATACTGTATTAAATATATGCGTGCAATGCTCTAAGACAGACCGCAAACAGGTTCCATAAGACTGCTCCTTAGCAAGTTTTGAGTGTTGGAAGACTCATGAAGCACTTAAAGTAGCACATCGCAGGATACAGTGTTGGAAATGCAATTTCAGCTTACACCTGTCTAAGGCTTTACAGCATCTTTGTTTTGTGTTCTGTCCTTTGCTGAGGTACCATCCGATCGACAGTTTGTATGGCAGTGGCTATGGCAGCGGCTACGGCAGCGGCTATGGCTATGGGGATCCCTATGCCGAGGATTCGGAATCCTCCTACTCGGATTCGTCCATCTATGCGGCCATGTAAAGCGGGTGCCAGCAAAGCTTTTTGTTGGTCCGGAAGCACTGGATGCCCAAAGAAAGAATTATAGCTGATAGCATCTGATAGCTGTTAGAGTTCAAATAGCCATATGAAGCAAACACCTTTTGGACCTTCGACCTCAGCGGCACGCGATCGACCTCACTGGGCGCCATGCGACGCCAGACAAAGGAGCCAGACAAGCGGTCACGGTGGGAGCGGTGGGAGTGGTGGGATGGTGCCATTGGATTTGCAACTTCCCTCAGGGTGACGCAGTGTTCAGGATGAGTTACATGCACCAGAGACAAACCAGGCATCAATGCAGGCATAGATGGAGCCACATGCTACTCGTAGATGGAATCAATGATGGCTGCAGGCATATATATATATATACAGAAGGGGTAGCTCATGACTACCCGCTCTCTATGTATAATATTACAACTTCCCACACAATCCATTGCCATGTCTATAGTTAAATACATACGGGTGTCCACCTTAATTATTCATGACCCATCCAGGTAAGGAGCTCTTCCAGTCCCATGGACACATCGATCCTCACCAGCTCCTTTCCTCGGCCTGTGTTCCACCTCTGAGGCCCCCTCGGAGGAACGTGCCAAAGAGTTGGCTGAGAGAAAATGCCCTGGGACCGGCATGGCGCGGAACTCGGATCGGGTTCACTTGCTTCGTGGAAGTGAAGAAGAGGAGTCCAGTCTGGAGTCCCAGTACATACTACTTACCTTAAAGAAAAGGGGATAAGTACGGCAGAGTTCAGATGGGTGGTGCCCCTCAACCAAGAAAGAGCTGGCCAGATTTTTCTCCGGCGTCATGGGATCTCCCCGTCCAGGGTCCACACGATCTGGACGTGGCTCTTTGCAAGCATTAACCCATGGCCCATGCATTGATTTGCAAGTGATCCATCGGGACCCAATGCATCTCCAAGAAATCCATCGGGACCATATCGGGACATGACCATCCCGAGGTGAAACCGACGAACGCCACCCAATGCAATTGCCACGAGTTAAAGACTCACTTTCACGTCAACGCCGAGGGTGTCCGTCGACTCGACGGTGGAACAAACCCATCGTCCACGTCGTTGCCCTGCCGGGAGTCACGTGTCGGTGCCGAAGGGCTGAAAGGGGGAGGAAGGAAAGGGGTGCCCCCTCCGAACACATCCACTGGCCCCAGGATGGGACGAAGCCACACCACCCGCCACTCCATGTGACTCTTGGTGCTTGCCCCTACTCAGACACTCCATGTATTGACTGCACATCCACCAAGCGTGTCCCTATGCCTGTTCCCAAATTGCCCCTGCGGCTGGTCGCGCAAGCGCGGTCGTCGCCAGCCGCGGTGTTTGACGCCAGACCTTCAACGGCGTGGACTCCACGGAGCTCACGCAGAAGTTCTTTGAGATCATGGCCCGCGAGGCTGCACCGGCCACCGACCGGACCTGGACGGACGGCGAGTTCGAGAGTAAGACGGCGCCTGGCCGCTGACAGTGAGGCGAGGTCGGAGGTCTCACTGAGGTTCAATCTCTCATGACAGCAATCAAAGCCGCCAAGCATTGCCAAGCATCCTCAAAACAATGCATTGTCTCTCTCTCTCTCTCTCATATGACTTGGTCAGGGAAGCCTTTTGGGGACTGAAGCCATGCGAGAAGATCATTCCGTGGGGATCGAATCCATGGGATCAGCTGAACTTCTTCGACCCTGTTTGACGTTCGCCATGGGTAGACCCATGTTTCGACCATGGTCTAGAACCTCCTTTCCAGGGGTAAGCATGGACTTAACTCCATTACTCCACGGTCCGAGAGCCCCAGAATCAACAGGGGGATTCGTGGACTTCAAAGATGGGTGTGTATTTTAATAGGGGGACGCGGGGACCCCCAACCAATCTCTTTTGCTGTTTCCATACCTTCCAATCTCTACCTGTGAACTATGCCATGCAACCTCACTTGGCAAGTGTTAAGCTGTGCAACGTCTTATGCATCGTGTTATTCTATTAATATGCACCTGTAATAGTATATATAATAGTATGTTTATATTTGCAACGCACAATGTTTGCTCATGGAGTCAGCTCTATTGTAGCATTTGCCGCGCAAACATGCACTCTTGAGTTGGTCTTGCAAGGGATATTACAATCTTGTCTGTACTGTTAGCATCCAAGGTGGATAAAGCATGGGTCTACCTTTGTCACAACTGCAGCATTGACACTCGCATGCTGTTCTTGAGTGAATCTCACGAAGCTTACGCTTCTTGACTCGACTTTCAGCATGCCAAAGGGATCATGCGCGGATTTCCGTTCGTTGCAACTGGCTTT